TTGGGGGATAAAAAAATAACTGCAGGCTAGGCTCTTGGGTAGCCTAGCCTCTTGAGTTTCTTTGTGACGGTAAGTAAAAATTTGGAGGATTGGCCCTTCCTTTAGAATAACCTCAAGAAGATAAAAAGCTGGGCTCTTGCTGGCCTCAGTTGAGCCCAGAGTTTGTCTTAAAGAGCCCAGCCATGGGGTGCCTGGTTGGCCCAGTCGGTTAAGCGTCTGCCTTTGGCTCAGGTCATGATCCCAGGGTCCTGGGATTGAGCCCCGCATCGGGCTTCTTGCTCAGCAGGGAGCCTGCTTCTCCCTCTCCCTCTGCCTGTCGCTCCCTGCTGCTTGTGTTCTCTCTCTCTCTCTCTGTCAAATAAATAAATTAATAAATAAAATCGTGTAAAAAAAAAAAAAAAGGGCCCAGCCCTGCAGGGATCAGCCATTGACTTTTCTCCAGACAAAGAAACAGCTCAGAGATGGCTGGAAGGATTCTACCAACAGACTACCAGGGAGGGAGTATGCAAGCAGTTGTAGTCAGACAGTGCAAACAATAGTGTGAGAATTGGTGGTTCTTCCTTGTTGGGGCATCAGCAAGATCAGTGATGGAGACTCCAAGAGTGGCTGTGCACATTAAATGAGGTGACAAGAACATGCTTGTACCTGCAGCTCTGCCCTCTCCCCTTTCTACTGTTCATCCTCATCAACTTACAGACTGGGTATAGTGTCTCCCATCTTAAAAAAGCCTACACTAGATCCTTCATCCCTTTTCAGCTGTCAGACCATCTCTCTGCCTTTCTTCCCAGAAAAACATCTCAAAAGAATTACCTACACTCTGCCTTTAATTTTTCACCTCCCTTAAGACTATACTTTATCTTTAGGATACTTTTGGCATTAAATAACAGAAAACTCTTGGAGTGCCTTGGTGGCTCAATTGGTTGGGTGTCCAGCTCTTGGTTTCAGCTCAGGCGTGATCTTGGGGATGGGACATGGGGCTCTGCTTGTCCTTCTCCCTCTGCTCCTCCCCCGGGGTGTTCTCTGTCTCTCAAATAAATAAGTAAATGAAGTCTTTAAAAAAATAACAGAAAACTCTGAATCAACTGGGGATTTATGAGTTTAAATAACAAGAACACCACAGATAGAGCAGCCTTCAGGCATGAGTTCTGGCTCTGCTTTGTGACAATTCTCTTGAGTCTGCTCTTCTCTTTGGCATTGGTTTTATCCTCAAGGTTGGTATCAAGACGGTTTCTTTTTTTTTTTTTTAACGATTTTATTTATTTATTTGACAGAGAGAGACACAGCGAGAGAGGGAACACAAGCAGGGGGAATGGGAGAGGGAGAAGTAGGCTTCCTGCGGAGCAGGGAGCCCGATGCGGGGCTCGATCCCAGGATCCTAGGATCATGACCTGAGCCGAAGGCAGACGCTTAATGACTGAGCCACCCAGGCGCCCCTCAAGACGGTTTCTACAGAACTAGATGTCACATGCAGAAATGACAGTAGCCAATGGAAGAAGAGAAGCTGTCTTTTCTTTATGTTTCTTTTTAAGCAAAAAAAGACCTTTACAGAAATCCTCCAACAAACTTCCCCTCACATTTTGTTAGAATTATATCACATGCCCATTCCTAAACATATTGCTAGAGGAAAGTAGATTATAGTGGTTGGCTTGCACTAATCAGGATTTACATTGGAGCTGGCCATAGGATTCTATTTGAAGGAAGAAAGAGAGAACAGATTTTAGCGAAGTATCTAACATGCCAGTTTAACTTTTGTCCTCAACACTACACTGGGATGAAATTGCATAAGACACAAATTCCAGTGAGCATTCTTTGTCTTCATCTAATTCCACCTTTTAGCAACATTTGACTATTTGAGTACACTTTAGCTTCTGCCACATCATGTTCTCTTGGTTTTTCTATTCTCTCTAGTTGTTTTTTCTTGGTTTTCTGTGTACCAGGATTGTAAAACAGGACTCATCCTATTTTGTCTTCAGCTTTATCTTCCCAACAAATCAGATGATTCCAACATTTCAAAGTAAGGAATGAGATGATTAGCCAGGACTTGCAAAGGAGGTGGCGAAGAGTGGGTTTTATGTCTATTAGCTGATTAAAAATCCAGCCTTATAAAAGAGGTTGAAGAGACCGACCTCTTTTAAGAAATTGGAGAGAAAATTACTTTAGTGATCTGCAATACAAGTTTTCTCCCACAGTAGGGAAGCAGTGGGGATGCTTGCTCTTCTCTGTCAGTTTAGTGAAAGGGGCTTCATTGGGAAGCACTTGGAGAGTGGGGGCACAGAGGACTGGAGTCTGACTGTGGCTGACTAGCTCCTCTGATGGCAGGGTAAAGAGGTGATGCTGTGTTGGGGATGGCTGCTCTCCCAGAGTTTTGGACAAATGATGCTTCAGAGCTTCCCACAGATGTTATATAGTACATGCATAGAGAGCAGGTATGGGGTTTTCTTAGATCCTGCCCAAGAGAGCTGCTTGGGGAAAAACAAACAAACCCTGGAGATATACCCTTAGATTCTGGGGTAATAAGGGGAGAATTTTAAGTGACCAACCATGGGAAATGCATTTATTTTGAAAAAGGGAACTGCCATTGCGAGATTTCCTGAGATGATGGAGCTCTAAAAAAGCCACAAAATAGTCCCATGAAATAAAGAATATGCTTTAAATACCTACCAAACCTAAGTAACTTTGTTTAGTTCATAAGTCAATTAAGATCTTTCCTGTCCCATACCTTTTCTCCTCCTTAGTTTGTTTCCACCCTGAGGAAGCAGAAGCTGAAGGTCTTAGGTGAAAGAAAAAAAGAGGCACATTGGGGCGCCTGGGTGGCTCAGTTGGTTAAGC